AGATTTCAGTTCAGTCACCATTCAATCACAAATCTCTGTAGGATAACCTTGGGCTAGTCCTCATCTCTCAGCCAAACCAACCTCACAAGCCTGTTAAGAAGAAGAAAAGGCGAAGGATCCAATATATCCCATTTTGAAATTCTCAATGGAGTGGTGTCATTAAAAAACAGGTGGGTGCGATTATGCACTCTACTACAACAACATACGTAATGGTCCAAATTATTGCTAGGTGCCCTGAGCCTGCAAGTTAGGATTTCGCATGCATAGAGTAATTAATTCAGGATAGATCTGTCATTTGTTATTAGCCACAACATTAAACTAAATTCACACATTTGGAGCCAATATGCCTCCCAGAATATGATGCTAAGACAAACAGCAGTAAACAGCTGTGATCATGGTACTCTGTTAGTCAGCATTCAGGCCATTTGGGTGGACATATTAGATCATATGATGTTGCTTCTGTCAGATACGGATAAGATTTCCTGAAGGATAAACTAATTTAAACTCAGTCACAGAGAGAAAAAGAGAGAGAGAGAGAGAGAGAGATATGAACATATAACACTTTGTTAATCTACAAAGTATACCCTCTTTGAATTCTACGGTTTTATGTATCAGGACGTAATATAAATCCTCTGGTCCTTAGCAGGTCTGAAAATTAGGTGAATACAACCTCAGATGAACAACAACACATGATATACTACACCGTGTCATGATTTCTTTGACAAAAAGTAGGTAAACGTTTTTACTGTACATGGCCTCCTTTAGACAAGTAAGCAGTGAGTGCTATATAGCACCTGGCCACTACTTAGCCTCTTAATTCCTATGGAAGCAATAAGGGCGTACTTAGTTCTTCACACATGGCTTCTCCCTTTTGGCTTCATTTATTAATTTTGTAAAATAAAAAAATAAATCTGTTCCCTTTGTCATTTTCTCCACCATCTAATGCCTTTTCTATTCGAGTCCTCTTTGGAGAACGAAGGCTAGAATGACCCAATCCAGCAAAAGGAAACCAGGCCAGGGGAAGGACTCAAGGAACCAACTGGCAGCACTTTCTCAAACACACAGGAGCACAAGTCAGAGCTGAGCCTTCCCAGGGGAAAGATCAGTGCTTCCTGAAGACAATGGGAGTCTGGCAGACAAGTTAACTCCAGGGCCCCAGAGAGCACATACAATTTGGGATGTTAGAGCAAAAAGCTTGAAACAGGAGAAGCCATCATCTTCAAGGCCAAGCATTGATAGCTGATAATGCCCTAGAATCATGCTGAAACTAGCAGTGGGTCTGGTGAAGAGCCATAAATACAGCTATTGCAGTCAGGCCAAGCTGTGGGAGATTGCAAGCTTTCATTTCATCCAGCTTCTGCATTCCTCACCTACTGTATATCTACCTGCGCTCCCCCTTTGCCCGACTTTGATTGTCTTTTCATTGTATTTGACATATAAATGATTGATGGACTGACCACTTGGCTTTGGATATTTGTGTGACTCCTTGGCAATTACTTTGTGTGAGAGAGACTGACCTGGATCTGACTATCCCCTTCTGGTACTTGCTGTCTGCAAAAGTCATATGCTGCCTAATGTACAGCAGGCTCATGATCATCCAGGGATCTCCAGAATTAACATCTGGTCCCCAAGGACATTCTGTGCCTATGCAGACTATTGTTAAGCAGATAGATTGAAGGCTGTTCTGGAAATGTTTCAACTAAAATGCTAAAGCACTGTGTGACCTCGGACCATTCCTTCTCTCAGCCCAACCTACATCAGAGGATGGTTGTGTAGATGAAATGGTGTGGTAAGAAGGCATTGTACACCAGCCTGAGTTAATTAAATACTTTTCTCTGAGCGGGGATAAATATATCCTTTCATTTATATTATATAATATAAATGAAAGGAGAGATAGAAATATGGCAAATAAGTAGTGGTAGCAGGTGCAGCAGAGGAAAGTAAGATGGAATACAAGGCCATTTCAATATCCCCGCTCAGAGACTGGTTAACTTTGGTCTTTCTTCCATATATATTGTTGTGTTGTGTATTTTGAAATCTGTCACACAGCAGACAGGGGCTGTCTTCCTTTAACTGTCTATAAGCCACTCTAGAAGCAGAAATGACCTTTGTCAATTTCTCCTCTTCATGAAATCCCTACTGCCCAAATGTTGCAGAGGGCCTCCTCAGCTCCTTCAGAACATTAGAAGGTGGAGCTCCTTCAGAACTGAGGAGGAAGTGATATTAGAGGCTTTAAAGCAGGGGTGTCCAACCTTTCACCTTCCCTGGGCCACATTAGAAGATGAAAATTTGGTTTGGGCTGCACATACATTTGGTTTGGGCCGCATGGGGGGGGCAGCCCTAGCCGTCCTCCGCAGCCCCGCTCCAAGCGCACTTACCAGCAGCTGCGATCTCAGACAGCAGAGGCTGCCAGCTTCGACTCCGGCGGCTTTATGGGGCCGGGAGGGGGTCTACTTATAGACGGGGACGACACAATGCAGTCATGCAGCCCCCGTGCAGCCCCCCCGTCTCCTCCCCTCCTACTCCTTCCTTCCTTCCCTCTCTACCCCTCTACTGCTGTGACATGCCCCAGCCACATTCCGGCCGCAAGCACCGGCAGTGTAACTTGAAACTTTGGAATTTCTTTAAAAATAAAAAATTGCACTGGGCCGCATTACGAGCTGACCTGGGCCGCATGCGGCCCTCGGGCCGCAGGTTGGACAAGCCTGGTTTAAAGGAATTGGAGACTCAGTAACAATCATCTTCAGTCCTACCTCTTTCTGGCAGTGGAAGCATAATGACCAAAACTGCAATCCAAACTGCTCAAGCCGAATCCAACTCATTTTGCTTGTTTGCTATTGTTTTGTTTCACCTAACCTGGATGTAAGTGGGACAAAACCATATAAGGAAATAAAATAAAATAACACTTTAGCTAAATCTATATTGAAAGACTCTGAGAAAAATCTCAGGGATAATCTTTCATTCACATCTTGTCCTTGATTTTGCTAGGTCAGTCTGATTGCTATGTAACTTCCAAGGAAATCAGTACTAACCCACTGTTATAATCATGAGGCAGATAATCTTCGTGTTCAAAATCTTTTAAAGTGTTTTCATTTTCTTCAAGAGAAACTATTTATTATACGGCAGGAATATAGTTGATATATCCTATTTGACTGTCAGTCATGCATTTCATAAGTTACTATGCAGGAAATTTCTATTTAAACTGAAATTAGGGTAAGGTAATGATTAAAGGGAAGCAAACAACATATTGTGCTATGAGGCACATGGAGAGTTATAACAAGTGGACTTCCTCAGCAATCAGTCTTGGGACTTATTTTATTCATTATGATGTCTGGAGAGGAAAATTGGAGTTTGCTGATGAAATTTGAAAACGATACCAAGTGCAGAAGTCTTGTATAAGCAAAAAATGCACTGGGAAATTATGCAGGGTGGAATGGAATAATATAATTGACTTTACATTCATTAATACAATGAGTGAATTCAAGCTTCGGGGACTCCCCCCCCCATTCAGTAATTGATTCACGTAAACACACTAAGAGCCAAATCTGCTGTGGTTACAATATTCAAGCAACTCTGTTGAAAACAGAAGGGAAAAAAGTGTGGAAAATCACAGTATGATGTGTAAATTAGAAGTGTCATAAGTTTATATCTATATGTTTTTTGAATGTGTTTGGAAATCATTATGTAAGTCATACATACATACTCTTGTTTTCCACTGCCGGGAGGCAGTGGAAGACAGGAGGGCCTGGCATGCTTTGGTCCATGGGGTCACAAGAGTCAAACACGACTTAACAACTAAACAACAACAATGTAAGTCATTGGTGGGGATTTATTTGCAATGCTATTGTCA